GCCACACAGCATTTGTTATTAACTCATTACTTGAGAATAAGCATTCATTCTGGAATAAGATGGAATTTCAGTGTTGCTTTAATTTGCATTTCTCTAATTGAACACTTTTTCACATATTTTTGACAATTTCTACTTCTGCTGAGAAGTATCTACTCATTTCAATTGCCCATTTTTGATTTTAGGTCTTTTTTTAAGATTTTATATATTCTACATATTAACCCTTTGTTGGTGTAGCAGGCAATTTTTTTTTTTTTTTTTTGCTTTTCTAGGTTGTCTCTTTACACTCATTGTTTCATTTGCTGTTCAGAAGCTTTTTGACATGCCAGTTGTTGATTCTGGATATTATATCTTGTACAGTGGGGGTTCTGTTAAGTAATTGTATTCATATATGTTCAATGGGTTAACCTATTTGTCTTTCAAAAGAGTGTTTCTGTTTTAACATTTAGATCTTTGAGCCATTTGTTTGTAGTTTAGTACAGGGTGAGTAATGGGTCTAGAATCAATCTTTTGCATGTGGATAGCCAGCTTTCCCAGCAACATTTTTTTTTTTTGAGACAGGGTTTCAATACATAGTTCAGGCTGGCCTTGAACTCCCTGTGGCCCTCCTGCCTCAGCCTCCCATGTGTTGGGATTACAGGCTTGTGCCACCACACCTAGCTGCAGCATCATTTGTTAAAGAGGTTATCCTTACTCCAGTATTTTTGGCAACTTTGTCAATGATGAGATAGCTGAATGTGTCTGGGGTTGTTTCCCATTCCCTATTTTGTTCCATCAATCCACATGTCTGTGTGCCATTATCATGCTGTTTTGCTCAATGTAGCTTTATAATATAGACTGATGTCAGGGATTGTGATATTTCTTGCTTTGCTCTTGTTAACTCAGAATTGCTTTCAGTATTCCTGTTCTCTTCTGTTTGTATATAAATAACAGGATGGTTTCTCTACTTCTATAAGCAACACTTCCTGGTATTTTGTTTGGGATTTTAAAAAATCTATATTGTTTTTGAAAGATTGGCCATTTAGACATTATTGGTTCTTCTTAAAAAATGTTTACTGGTACATTTTAGGTATACATTATGATCACATTCATCATTGGGAATTTGTACCTCTACATGATATATTTTGGTTCTTTTTTCCCCATTCCCCTTCCTTCTCTTCCATCCCTATTTACAAAAGACTCTGTTTCTGTATTTACCTTTTTATCTCATTTTTTTCTTTCCTTTCTCCTATCCCCCCAATTCCCCTTCCCCTTTGGACCCTTTCTTCCTATTTCACATTATCTATTATACATTTTGGTCCTCATCTATTCCTTTAGTTTCTCACACCAGAGAAAGTATTCAGTATTTACATGTATGTCCTATTTATTTCATTTAAGAGTATATGGTCTCGAAGGAGTGAAGGGAGGGGAAGGGGAAAGGAAAAGAGGGAAAGGAAAAACTATGAGAAAAGAAAAAAAATGGAAATGAAATCTATGTAAATAGGGAAGGGCGGAGGGGGTGAAGGGTGCACAGGTAACGGGGAAAAAAAATAAGAACCAAGATATATCATGTACAGGTGCAAACACCCAATGATAAATGTAAATGAATTTTATACCTAAAATGTACCAATAAAAGAACTGAAAAAAAAAAAGAGTATGGTCTCAATGTGCATTGATTTAGCTATAAATATCTATAGTTCATCATTGTTTATCTCAATATGCATCGATTTAGCTATAAATGTCTGCAGTTTATCACTGAGTAGTACTCCATTGTATAAAAAAACAAAACTCACATCTTTTTTATCCAGTCACCAGTTGAGGGGCATTTGGGCTATTTCCAAGATTTAGCTATTACAACTGTGTCGCTATAAACATGGGTGGACATATATCACTGTGGTATGCTTTTAATTCTTGTTTTTGGTACCAGTGATCGAACTCAGGACCTTGTGCTTGGGAGGCAGGCACGGTGCCACTGAGCTAAATCCCAGGCCCATGATTTTTTTTTTTTTTTTTGGTACTGGGGATTGAACTCGGGTCCTTGTGCTTGCAAGACAGGTGGCAGAACCACTGAGCTAAATCCCCGGCCCTCTTTTAATTCTTTTGGGAGGATAACCCATTAGGGGAATAGCTGGGTCAAATGGGACTCTAATCCTAGTTCTTTGAGGAATCTCCACACTCAATTCCACAGGGGTTGCACCACTCTACACTCTCACAAACACTGGAGGATTCCTTTTTCCCTACAATCCCGCCAGCATTTTTTTTTGGTACCAGGGATGGAACTCGGGTCCTTGCGCTTGCGAGGCAGGCAGCAGAACCACTGAGCTAAATCCAGGGCCCTGTTAAATTGATTTCTTGATAGCAGTCATTCTTTCCAGAGGTGGAATATCAGTGCTGTTTTCATTTGCATCTCTTGACCAGTGATGTTGAACATTTTTTCATGTTTATTTGCTGTTTCTACTTTGTCTGAGAAATGTTTGTTCATTTCAGATGCCCATTTTTGAATTGAGTATTTAAATTTGGGAGGTCTGACTTTTTAAAGTTATTTATATATTCTAGATAGACCTTTGTCTGAAAAACAGCTGGTAAAATTTTTTTTTCTACATTGTGGGTTGTTTCTTCACCCTATTGTTTTTTCTTGCTGTGCACATTTCTAATGAGATCCCAGTTGTTGACTTTGTACTAGTTCCCCTGTGACTGAGTTTTTGTTCATAAAGTGTTTTCCTATGGCAATGTCTTTGAGTTCTACCTATCTTCTAGCAAGTTTAGTGTTTGTTTTAATATTTAGATCTTTGATCCATTTTGATTAAGGTGTAGTATATAGTGAGAGATATAGGTCTAGTTGGCAAGTTGAAACCCAATTTTTCCAGCACCATTTTTTAAAGAGAATGACAATTGGACTTCTTTTCTATGTGTATACAGTAAATCCTTAGTTTGCGAGAATAATTCATTCCACTCATAAAAGCAGTATCAAAGCAGTGAGAAAAAAATTCATGATCATTTGACATTCAGCATGATGTACTACTCACATTGCAAGACATCACTCATATATTAAGTTAAACCTTCTTAGAAATGTTTGCTTACCTTGTGGACACTCACATACCAAGTTACACACAATCCAAGGTTTGAATCTACTTTTCTTCCTCTTCCTTGATTGTTCTGGCCAAGCTTTCATGGTGTACATTAAAGAATTGTGATCATGGACATCTTTTGTTTGATATGTTTTGAGGGAAAGCTTTCAGGTTTTTTTCTATTTAATGTAATGTTGACAGATTTAACATAACTGGCTTTTACCAGATTTAGACAGTGATTTTATACATACATATTTTCATTAAAAAACCCATGAATATTGGATTTTGTCAAAGACTTTTTCTGCATCTATTGAGATGCTCATGTGATTTTTTTTGTTAGTCTCAATTTATTAATTTCTCCTCTGATCTTAATTTCCTTCTTTTATTGGCTTCAAATTTGAATTGTGCTCATTTTTAAAGGACTTTTAGGTGCATAATTAAGTTATTTACATGACTCTTTCTTGGATATGGACAATTACTGCCCTAAACTGCTATCCCTGCCTGATGTATTCATTCCAGCAGAATTTTTGGAATTGTAGACTTCACTGTCTCTAAGATGCATAATAACATTAACCATATGCAGCGTTTCTGAATTTCATGTTTGTGACATGGTGATACATGCAAATGTGTAGATCACCATGGGAAAACAATCACTATGAGGTTTGTGCATTTGGTGAACACCTGTGTTATCTAAGTTTGACTTTATCAGATGGAAGGACAAACTTGGAAGAATAGAAACAGTGATGAAATGTAATATAATAATTATGTAATCATATAAGTAGTAAAATAAAACTGAATAAATTAGTTTTATTAAAAAAACAAAGCTTTTAACACAGAGTATTAAAGTACTAAACTACATCAGTAGGTTTTTCATTACTTACTTTGAAACAAGGTCCCATTAAGTTGCCTAAGCTGGATTCTTGATTGGCTTGCATAACAGCTATGATCTACCAGTAGTTGCAAGATTTTTTTAATTCTAAGATGGTGGCAAATATAAGCGCTCAGGATAAAATGCCTTCTACTTTGACTATTCTATCTCTGGCTGGAATTTGTACTATGTAAATTGAAGTTGATGGTAAGAAATAGAAATGAACTGCAATATAATTAGCCACATGTTCAAGGATGTAAAAATACTGTACTCTGCAATGTAGTGCATTTTATGAATTACATGAGATGTTCTATATTTCATAATTAGACAAAATGTTTGATGATATTGTCCACCTGATTGCTAATTTGTCTAAGCATAATTAGGATAGGATAAGGTATACTGTTCGCATTAGATACTTAATGCATTTGTCACTTATGCTTTCACCTTAGGGCAGACTCATCAGAATGTAACTCCAAGGGAAATTGAGCAGCTACATTCATAGGGAAAACAATCCAGAATATTATACAAAATGCTTCAATGTTAGGCAGTAAAAAGGCAAAAAGAAGGCAAAGATACCAGAGATGGACTCAGAGATTGCACAAGTCTTTCTGTGGCTGAAGGTATATATATCACTTCCTTCAATCATAAGACAGTGGTCCTTATTGCTGATGACAAAAAGGATATTGTAGAAATTTATCTCTAAAGTTGTAAACCAGAGCACAATCTTAATCACAAAAAGTAGTCAATTATTTCTTTTCCTGAGCAATTTGAGGTTCCCAGGTAAAAGATTAATTTCCAAAGACTGAATGGTATTTCTAATATCAAGGAATAAAGAATTTTGTTTAATCTTGATGAATAGAAATCATTTTTCCTGAATTTCAAGACTGTCAAAAATTCTTTTGAGAATGTTCTGTCATATCATACCATCATTTATAGTTTGTGGAGAGATTAACTACTACAATTCATTGTCTTGCTTGAGAAAAGATATGGTCCTGCTGCTCAGTGGCAGGTGGAGACTCACAGCTTTATAGTTTTTGGTATGCTGTCCACCAAAATAAATCATGGCAATATAAGCATGAAAAGTCAACTTTTTGATTTAAAAAAAAAATCTAAAATTTTATACACATTATAATGGCTCTTGTATCAGAGAAAAAAACAGGCAAAATTATATACTGCATATAATCTATAATTATGTTGGAATACATACAGATATCTTCTCATAATATGGAACATAATGTTTGCTAGTCTACAAGATGTTTGAAAACAGTTAAACAATGTAAAACACATGTACAAAGATTTTTTTAAAAATATACATTATAATTACAAAATAGCATCCAATTAAAAATACCTTTGTTAGAAAAATGGCAAAATGGACTATATGCATCAAAACTTTAAATACATAAAGGCTACTGGTAAAATTACAATTAGCCAAAATTCAGTTTTCAGGTCATAGTATGCCACAATTTTTAGAAACAAAACAAAAAAACAACAAAACAGAGGAGACAAAAGATGACCTACAAAAATAGTAACCTATGGGCATATAAGAGATACATTTCAATTCACCTGTGCATCTAACATGGTGCAAAATAATGACTTATCAGTTAATGAAAAGATAGCATTAGATTCCCATACTATTGCTTATAAGAACATACAGAATTATATGAGTATATTTACAAGAGAACTTTGAAATATGTAATCCAGATATATTTAAAGAGTGAGTTTATTGGGCCGGGGATTTAGCTCAGTGGTTCTGTTGCCTGCTTGGCAAGTGCAAGGTCCCGAGTTCAATCTCCAGTACAAAAAAAAAAAGTTTATTTATATTTTAGGACATCTTCTCTAGTTGTGCACTTTCTGGAAAAATAATTCATATTTTATTTTCATATAACTTACCTGTATAGGTTTGCACTACATGAGAAATGTTCAAAGGAGTTTTAAATATAAGTTACAACTGGGAACTTTGTATGTTCATAGGGTTCTGACCTGATATGAATTTTACATGTAGGATAACTGAACAACTGTGTATACCCCTTATATAAATGGTTTCTCATAATGCTGTGTTCATTTCTAATATGAATAACACCAAAATGGGTATAGAGGTGTCCCCACAAAATATACATTGATATGTTTCTCCACTATGCAGTTCCATGTTTGCATCGGAAGTCATGTAAAAATGAAGATTTCGGGCCAGGGATTTGGCTGTGGTGCCTGAGCCTGCCTCACAAGCACAAGGTCCTGAGTTCAATCCCTGGTACCAAGACAAAAAAAAAAGACTTCTTAGTCTGTATTTATACTGATGCTTCTTGTGAATTTGCACACATTTTCTGAGAGAATAGAATCAGAAAATGCTCTCACATTACTAAGCTAGGGTTTCTCTTTAGTGTGAATTCCTTCACATATTTCAAGTTAAGTGAAAAAATTGAAGGGTGTCCCATATTGATTATATACATATGGCTCCTTTCCCATGTGAATTCTTTCATGTATCTGAATGCATTGAGAAAAATTAAACATTTTCCACACTGCTCACATATGTTCAGATTCTACTATGAATATTTCCACGTATGTAATGATACCTGTTTATATTGACTTTATATTGCTTACAAAGAAAAGGTTTGCCTCTACTATGAGTCTTTTCATGTCAGTATAATCCCTTTATATATTTACAGTCAACTCCGTTCTTACTTTTTCAATGTACATGATGATGACTGAAGTAAAGACTTTTCCACATTGCTTGTGTACACAGGGTTCCTCTCTGGTATAATTTCTTTCATGTATTTGACAATATCCCTGCGTACTGAATGCACTGCCATATAGTTACATATACAACATTTCTACTCAGTGTGAGGCCTTCATGTATTTGACAATTTCCATGTGTGTTGAAAGCTTTCCCACATTGCTTACTTACATAGGGATTTGACCTAGTGTGGATTCTTTCATGTTTTTGGTAAGTACAGCGTCTACTGAAAGCTTTACCACACTGCTTACATACATAAGGTTTCTCCCCGGTGTGAGTTCTTTCATGTATGTGACAATTACCATGCGTCCTGAAAGCTTTCCCACATTGTTTACATACATAGGGTTTTTCCCCAGTGTGAGTTCTTTCATGTATTTGACAATTACCAAGTGTGCTAAAAGCTTTCCCACATTGATTACATACATAGGGCTTCTCCCCAGTGTGAAGTCTTTCATGTTTTTGACAATTACCTTGTCTGCTGAAGGCTTTCCCACACTGCTTACATACATAGGGCTTTTCCCCAGTGTGAGTTCTTTCATGTTTTTGACAATGACTGTATGTTCTGAAAGCTTTCCCACACTGCTTACATATATAGGGTCTCTCCCCAGTGTGAGTTCTTTCATGTGTCTGACAATTGTCTTGTCTGCTGAAGGCTTTCCCACATTGTTTACATACATAGGGCTTCTCCCCAGTGTGAGTTCTTTCATGTATTTGACAATTACTGTGTGTTCTGAAAGCTTTCCCACACTGCTTACACACATAGGGCTTCTCCCCAGTGTGAGTTCTTTCATGTCTTTGACAATGACTGTGTGTGCTGAAAGCTTTCCCACACTGCTTACACACATAGGGTTTTTCTCCAGTGTGAGCTCTTTCATGTATCTGAATGTCATGGAGAGAATTAAAAGCTTTTCCACATTGTATACATACATAGGTATTTACTTCACTGTGATTTCTTTCACAGATTTGAACAAAGTTGGTTGTACTGAAGGCTTTCATATCTTGTTTATATACAAAAGGTTTCTCTTCAGTGTTACTTCTTTCAATGTCTGTAGAGTAGGATTTTCCACCTTGCTTATATTCATAGGGTTTATTTCTAGGATTTGCTTTTGTTTGTTTCTGAAAGGACTGGAAGGCAGTGGAGGTGTTCCCATGTTTGTTAGATAGCATCTCTTTAAATCCCTGACACTCATAGGATTCCAGTCTAGTGTTGGCCATGATGGGGACATTAGACAATGAATGATTAATCAGGGGCTTTCTATAAGCAAAGCTTTCACCTGGTTTGGTACCAACCACTTTCATGTGCACATTAGTATCTGGAGTCCAAAAAAACGTTTCTCCATGTTGTTGACATAATTTATATTGACAGCATTTCTCTCCTTCACTTCTATAAAAGAATAAAAAGATAACAAAAAAACCAATCACATTAATTAAATTGTTTTGTTATTAATGATTTACTAGGAGAAGGTCTGGTTTGATGCCCCTTGGATTATTTGATTTTAAATTCACAGTATACTCTGGATGATGCTGTGAAAACAGCTTTCAACAAAACAGTAGTAATTCACTTGGGAGTTTGTAATAGACATGTTTGTCATACATTTGAAGAACTGGTACATATGCATCCCATATGTTATTTTTGATATCTTTTCCTCCAAGATTTTAACACCTCCTGCTTCCACTGAGCCTTTTCAGCCTTCTCCAAAATGCCTGCCTCTCTTCTCTCTCCTTTATTTTACTCCTTCATTCTTATTTTGTATCTCTTATACAAAATATATCATATGAAACTGAAATTTCTCTGTCTGACTTATTTAATATTATGGGTTCCAGATCCATTCATTTTTGGGTAAAATGACATCATTTCATTGTCCTTTATGGCTGAATACTATTCCGTAATGTATGTATGCCATATTTTTTTCAGTCCTGGTGACTGAAGTCAGGATTTCAGCACTGAGCTACAACCCCAGTCTTATTTATTTTTTGAGACAGTCACTGAGGCAATCATTAAACTGCCCAGACTGAGCATAAATGTATGATTTTGCTGCCTAGCTTCCCAAGGTGCTAGGATTCCAACCATCCATTATCATACCTGGGCTATTTCATATTTCCTTAATCTACTCATCTGTGAATGGGTATCTAGGCTGTTTCCAAGGCTTAGCTATTGTGAGTTGTGCTGTTATAAACATGAGTATGGATATATCAGTATAATATAATTATTTTAACTTTAGGGATTACATACCTAGGAGAATTAATGGAACTTCTATTTTTTCTTTTTTGAGGAATCTCTACACATATTTCCATAGAAATTATACTACATGATATTTCCATGAACAGTATAGGGATGAACATAATAATATTTTGGAATATGAATGGATGAGTGCTTTGGGGGATTTCTTGAAAACAGTTATTATCAAAACAGTGGCATTCATTTGCATTTTGAATAGTTTCACAAGGTTAGCAATTTTGGAAATACTGAGTGTACACAGCACATTTAAATACATAAAGCATTCCTTACATAATATGTCTGATATGCAACTGGTCTTTAAAAAATACTCATGTATATATAATTAAATATCCTGAACATAACTCTTTGTCTAAACACAAAATTTATATACACCGATAGTCAATGCCTAAATAGAATTTCATACAACATTTTTACAATCTTGAGCATGGAAAGTAACTTGTTTTTTTCTGATACATTAGATAATGTCACTTGTGGCATACTGTCAGTACTCCCTAAGTTTCAGATATTGGAATATATTAAATATTCAACTGTCAGGTTATACTCAACATGCATGCATCTTTGGAGAGATTTTTTGAGATTAAAGAAATATGAACATGGCTTCACTTGTACAGTATGATTAGTTTTAGTATGTCTACTCATACTATTTTAAGAAACATTATTTTTCTTGTGAGTGCAAATTACCTTAAATTTCTCCTGCAATTTTTGTACTCATCTTCAATTTGCTGGTCATCCCAGTTTCTTCCTAAAGTGTAGAAACAGAAATGTAGTGATGAGTTACTATATTACATAACATTTAATAGATTCATTAGATATGTGGTATGATGTGACCAAGCTTGGAAGATCCATCAAAATGTTTCCATATTCCAATTAAGGAAACTGTACTGATACACAATAACCAGTGGTCTCTGATTACATAAATGAGAAAGTGATTTACTCTTTACCTATAGCAGCCACATTCCTAAAGTTTTCCCACATCACATCTCTGTAGAGCTTCTTTTGGGATGGATCTAGCAAAGCCCACTCCTCCATGGTGAAGTTCACAGCCACATCCTCAAAGGTCACTGCCTCCTAAATCATGAGAAATATATTTTCAGAAGAGTGAGATTCACAACATGAAACATCTCAACTCTACTCATAAAGCTGAAATGAGGCTGAGTCCTCCAAATGCTTACTTCACATCTTGGTCATATCCTCTAGCCATATGCACATGTTACTAAACTTGCTGCTTTGGAATTTATTGCTAAAGCAATAGCAGAATGAAAACACTGTTCTTCTGCTGGTTAACCGCAGTTTTATTTGTATGCTGTCTCTAAAGCATGGTTCATAGAGGGAGCCTACAAGATCAGCATCCAAGTAAAACAACTGGGTAAATGAATATCTAATGAATTGCTGACAGATTATAGAAAATACCTTTTCTCACTTATTTTTTTAGAGAATTGATTCCTTATCTGATTCTATCCAGACAGCATTTTGAAACTTGAACCTAATTTCTTAGATAAAGCCTTAATTGGACACTAAGTGAAATTCGTGAATGATAATTAAAAATGTCAATGAAAATGGTGTTTACTGTAGAATGTTTAAGAAGAATGAAATTAGATTGATGAAGACATTATCTTATAGTTCAATGACATGAAATGGTCACTTGTCTCAGAGATACAAAAATTTCTAAGATGGCATAAGAAAGAGAAATGGGGCCATGAGCTTCTAAGACTCTTGAAATTTTTCAAGTGAAAATCCTGTACTTTGTAGGTTAATAATATTGTTAGTGGGTGGGGAACTCAGTTAGATTCCAGATAGCAAATTATCTGAAATCCAGAAAAAATGAGGAATGCTTTGAAGGTGAAATTTTAGAAAGTAATTTTGTTTGTAATTATGCAGTTGGCTGAAATATTATGTCCTTCCACTGGACCTATGTGAATTGAAGAGAGCTGACATTGAATTAATCATCAAAGACACAGAGCAAATTATGGGAATATACTACAGTCTTTCATGAACATGCCCAAATGATGAGGTGACCAAAATTTTATGGCTGGTCAACACATGGCAGCACAAGAAGTTTGAGGCCTCCAGATGAGGTATGCAAGTTCCACTATAGTGAGATAGCCTTGCCCCATACATTGCCATGAACCTTTTGCATTGGCTGCTTTTGGGTTCTTTTCTCATTAAATGGTAAGAGCAATGTTATGTTTAGATGTGTTTAGATGTCCCCCCAAAGCCTCATGCAGTCTATGGAGTTTTTTCAGAGGTGGCTGGATCTAGAGTGTATGACACTGGGGCTAGGCTCAAGGGCACTATGATGAAGGGTATGAGTGCTACCTGCCCTAAGTAGTCTGGATAAGATAAAAGGGGCAGAAAGATGTTGTTATGGTCTCTTGCTTGTTTTGCTACCTTCTGCCTGCCATGAAGTATTTCTTCTCTGTGATACCCATCTGCCATGCCACTCTGCCTTGGAGCCAGTCAATTATGGACTGAAACCTCTACAAACTGTGAGCTAAATAAACCTTTCCCTCTTTAACTTTGTGTGTTGGATCTTTTGTCTCAGCAATGAGAAAAAAGTAAGTTAAGCAAGTTAAGTGTCTTCCTGAGTCCTGTGATTTATTCCAAGAAATCAGGAAGAAAAAAAAATTAGAACAGAAGGGTAGATTGTGAGAATGTGAAATTTGTAGCCAAGTTGGGTAAAAGTGGGTTACACTGGAACCCAAATTTGACTAGTGTAAGACAAAAAAGAGTCCTAACAGAATAGCAAGATTATATCTGAAGATTCAGACATTAATTTGAGATAGTGTCAAAATCGAGTGAAATTTTTAAGCAACAGATGATGTTTCTTGCAGTGAAAAAACATGTAAGTATAGAAAGATACTACATATTGATTGTAAGAAGCACTGTGGGTAAAATCTGTTCACTTGTATCCTTGAATGCAATATTTTACACTGTAAATACTACAGCCCACATCAGTCCCAAATTTGGCAGTGCACCACAGTTCAGGATAACTACACCTACACTGAACATCTTTTCTGGATCTACCCCAGAACTTTATTTTACTTTAGATTCTGTTTTCACAACGGGCAGAACAAATTCTATACTGACAGACATCTGGCCATGAACTTATGCTAAATCAAACATATTACTGAAGAGGGGGTAAATGGTTTCCCAATATTCATACAAATTATAGCGGCCTCTTGTTTTATATATTAATTACACATAGGTGTAGATTCCAAAGAGCCCACAATGATTATCCACAAAGATATGTAGATATTCCTAACAAAACCTTAAGTAAAACATTCAAATATCCCTGATAATATTGGCACAGTATAATATAAAACTTAAAATTGCACATATTCAAAACTATTTGAAGCTCCATTGCTATAGTGGTAACTCTTCAAAGGCATTTCTTGTCTATATGCTTTTTCCTTTTCACCTGTGTTCCTTTATGTCCCAGAAGCTCTCAAGGCAGTGCAATTGGACAGGACTTTTTAGACACCACTTTTGGTGAGTGCTCCAGTATTTTGTCTCCCTGAGGACATAGAAGTCATGGACAGAGACAATCATTAAGGAGGCATGATTAATTAAGAAATATAAATTTCCCAGCCAGGCTAGACAGCAATGGCATAGATCTAGTATTCTAGCTAAAGACACATATATGCCTTTTGTCTCATGTCCAGCTGTGTGATATTGGGATCTCTATCCTCTGGTGCATCTGCAAATTATGTGTCAAATAAAACCAGACTTTATAAAATCATTAGAAAGTTAAAGAATCTAATTTATAGACAATATCGGGCATGTAGTAATCCCTCAGTTTCTAAGTGTGTGGTAACAGGGCATCAAATACCAGCTTGCAATTTTGATGTGGTTGCAAGATGAGTATTTCTAGTGTTAAAAACACACACAATGCAAGCAGGTATTGACTATATAGAAGAGCTAGAGAGGTAAAACGTATCTCATCCAATTTCACGTACATTTTGAGTTTTCCAAAGCAAAAGACCAATGAGGACAGGGCTGCACTAGACAGTGAAGAGGTGGATGAAAGTAGAAATAATAAGGCAGGAGTATTTGTTTTTGAGAATATGAAATTTATTGGTAGAGAACTCAATAGAATGGTCTCACTAGCAGTCAGATTTTGGAGGTAAGTGAAGAGAGATGGCACTGCTAAAACCTATATTCATTTTGGAGAAGAAATGGGGAGAAGGGAGAGAAATTGATTTAGGAAAGGTATTACATGGGTCTATGACTATAAAGTGGATTCTTGGCATCATACCATGGTGATACTACTCATTTCCTGTGATAACATCTTAATCTGTCTCTTCAACATTCTTCCATCCCATGTGATACTTGGCTGTGGTTCTGGGAGGTAAACATAAAAAGCTCAAGGGCCTGATGACATCATAAAGTCATTCATGAAAATAGGACCAATTTTTGCTTCTGTTATTGATCTTTTAATATTTGCTATACGTGATCTCAATATACAAGGTAGTCAAATTTGTATTTTCTTCTTGGATATTTACCTCTCATTTTCTTCATAACATCTAGAGTTTCATTATTTTTCTAAATTCTAAATGGAATACTTACGTTTCTAACCCATATAACTTCTTGGTGTGGATTATAAGTCAGTATATTGCTTGGGAAAACATTAAGCCATAAACAATCCCTAATACTGCTCAATATACAGTATATCCTCATATAATTGACTTGTGCTCTGAATGGCTAAGCTTTCCCAAATTTCATGTGTTAAATCCTACTCCCCAATATGATGGAATGAGATGGTGGAGACACTGGGAATGAATAGTCATGAAGTCAGAACTCTTAATAATGTGATACACATACACATAAGAGACTAAAATCCATCTGGCTATGTGAGGACACAGCTAGAAGACACCATCTATACTTTACTAAACATTTGTTTGTGTTTTGATCTTGGACTTATTATCCTTCAGAATTCCGAACTATAATTATTTCTTGAAAACACCTTCTTGATATTTTTGGTTAGGGCAGCTGCAATGTACAAAAACAGAAGCTTTAAACATTTTGTTGGTGAATGGTATACCAGCAATAATGGTAATATCCAGATAGTGAAAAGTGGTATTTCCATTTGCTATTCCAATCTGAATGATTTACCTATCCACATGTAGGTAGTCACCAATTTTCCTTCCCTTACTAAACCATGAAATTACTGCCATGGGTGGGTAATGGAAGTTCATGAATGGAGCGCTGCTTCACTCAGTCAGCACCAATACGAAACCTATGACAAAAATCTCTACATGGAATTCAAAACAACTACCTAGGGACCCAGGGACAGGGTCCAAGAGACATACATGCAGCTTTATCTAATACATTCAAAATCTCAGTAAGAAAATCTTTAGTAAAAAGCAAAAATCATGCAATAGTTATAATGATAAAAGTATTTAAAACAAAAAATACAGAACATTTTTTGAACATATTTTTAGCTTACTGTCTTGGGAGGAATGATCTGATAAAATGTAAATTATTTCCCACATTATCTCCCCAAAGTAATTTTATCACATTTCCAATGAATCAAGTATAAAAATGATTAAAATATTCCCATTCTTTTTCAGAAATTAAAGTAAGGCAAAACTATAATGCCTTGCTAAAAAAGCAGTAAATGCTTGAATTTTTACATATTTATAGCCATAGTCATTTTAAATTTCCTTCATTTGACAATTTAAAATTCATTTCATTGAGACAACATGGTCAAATAAAATTATATATATTGAAATTGTACAATTAAATATGTCACTATATGTCTATATTGAGAAATGACTCTCACAACCTGTCTTGTTAGCATCTCTATCAACTAATACAGTTATTTTTGAGCATGGGATGAAAATACTAAAAGCTACTGTTAGCAATTTCAAACCTACGTAGGATAGTGTAACATTCAACATAATCATCAGATCTCCAGAGCCTGTTTGTACTGTGTAAAAAAAATTGCACCTTTTCATTAATCTTTTCATAGTTTCACACATGTCAACGATGACTAAACTCTCTCCTTGTGTTTAGTGCACTATTGTAGATGCTTAGTACAAATGTGATCACGCTGTAATTTTTATGCTTGAAGTATTTCATTTAATGATCTCCATGTTAATACATATTGAAATGAATGGCAAGATGTCCTTTTTTGAGATTAAATATTCCATTGTATAATAAACTATACTATTTATATGCACTCAAACATTTTATAAAATAAAAAAGGCTCGAAATGCCATGTTCTGTATGCTTTGTTGCAAGGTTCTGTAGGCTTTGTTTCAAGGTTTTGAGGTTAGTTGCAACATGCTGATTCTGCCATTTGTAGATGAACTTATTGATGTTTTTATGGAAAGATCACTACGAAAATCCTCTACAATGGTATATTCCATTCCTACACTTCTCTTTCCTGCATGAAATGAGAGTAACCAGGTTTCCTTCCCATGCCTTTCTGTAATGCTGTATCTGCCTTTCTATAGGTTGAACAAGGACTGAAGCCTCTGAAATTGACTCAAAGTAATCCTTCCCTCCTTTTAAACTGTGCCAGATTTATTTTTATTAGCAACTGAAAAGTCACTAACAGAACCACTGAAGTGGATTTATATTGTTTTCATACCATGAGTATTGTGACTAATTCTTCAGTGGACACAGGAAAAGAATATAAATATGTTTTCCAGATTCTGATTTCAGTATAATTTTTTTAAATTTAATTTTATTGGTATAATTCAGGTATATAAAATGATCACATTCATCGTAAGGAATCTGTACTTGTACATGATGTATCTTGATTCCTTTTTTTTCCAGTTCCCCTCCCCTCCATTCAATCCCTCTTCCCCTCCTTATTTACAAAAGCTGTTTCCAGTTTTTCCTTCTTTCCACATTTTTTCTTTTTCCTTCTTTCCTTTCCTGCTCCCATCTCTGTAGTTTCCCCTTCCTTTTGAACAATTTTTTTTGGTACCAGGGATTGAACTCAGGACTTTGCGCTTGCCAGGCAGGTGTGGTACCACTCAGCTAAATCCCCGGTCCCAACAATTTTTTATTTCACATTGTCCATTATACATTTTGGTCCCCATTTACACTTTCAGTGTCTTACATCAGAGAGACAATGTGATATTTACATATGTGTGCCCGATTTATTTCACTTAAGAGTATAGCTTCAAGATGCTTCCATTTAGCTATAAATGTTTCATTTATCCTTCTTTATGGCTGAGTAATATCCTCATTGTACAGAAAAAACACATTTTTTTAAATCCATTCATCAGTTGATGGGGATTTGGGCTGTTTCCAAGATTTGGCTATTACAAACTGTGTCTCTATAAACATGGGTGCACATATATTGCTGTGCCATGGTGCTTTTAATTCTTTTGGGAAGATACCCAGAAGAGGAATAGCTGGGTCAAATGGGACCACTAATCCTAGTTTTCTGAGCAATCTTCACACCGATTTCCATAGTGGTTGCATCAGTCTGCACTCCTACCAACAGTGGAGAAAGGTTACTTTTTCCCCCAGTCCTGCTAGCATTTGTAGTTGGTTGATTTCTTGATAGTAGCCAGTCTTCCTGGAGTGAGATGGTATCTCAGTGTTGTCTTCAATCATCAGAGCTATATTTTATTTTTTTCCCATTAAGTTTATTGGTACATTTCAGGTACATATTATGATCACATTTATTATTGATAACTTGTACCTGTACATGATATAACTTGGTTCTTGTTTTTTTCCCCATTCCCCTTTCTTCCCTCCTACCCCCCCCCCACCTCAGTGTTGTTTTCATTTGCCTCTCCTGAATGACCAGTGATGTTGAGCATTTTTTCATATATTTACTTGTCAATTGTATTTTTTCATCTGAGAAGGGTCTGTTCATTTCAGATGCCCAGATTTGGACTGTGTCTTTAAATGTGGGAGATCTGATTTTTTCGATTCTTTGTGTTTTCTAGATATTAGTCCTTTATCTTTCCCACTCTGTGGGCTGTCTTTTCACTTTGTTTATTTCTTTTATAGTTCAAAAGCTTTTTAATAGGATGAGATCCCAGTTGTTGATTCTTTGTGTTATTTCCTGTGCAGTCTGGGTTCATGAAGTCTTTGCCTATCCCTATGTCCTCAGGAGTACTACCTATTTTTTTCTTCCAGCAGATTTAATATTTGTTTTAATATTTAGATCTCTGATCCATTTTGATTTTAGTTTAGTGCATGGTAAGAGACATGGATCTAATTTTAGTCTTCGGCATGTAGAAAGCCAATTTTTCCAGCACCAATTATTAAAGAGGTTATCCTTCTTCCAGTGAATGTGTTTGGCCACTATGTCAAAGATAAGGTAGCTGAGTCTATGGGGTTGTTTCCATATCTTCTAGTCTGTTCCACTGATCTTCAGGTCTGTTTTTCTGCCATTACACTGGTTTTTATCACAGTAGCTTTGTAGCATAATTTTAAGTCAGGGATTGTGATGCCTTGACTTTCTTGTCCAGAATTGCCTTTGCTATTCTAGGTTCCAAATGTATTTTAGGATTGTTTTCTCTAATTCTATGAGATAGGCTGTTG